AAAAAAAAAAAAAAAAAAAAAAAAAAAAAAAAAAAAAAAGGCAAGATGCCTTGAGGCAAAGGTGGTGAGAACCGTGCTGTCAGCTTAAACACATTCATCCTGCAGGGGGGAGAAGCTGCCCCTCAAGCTGGGGAGGAGCCACAGCATTTGCATTTCAGTGCCCTTGCAAGGGAAGTATATGATGAAGGCTTTTACAAGGAAACCTGAGAAGGGCAAGACACAGGACCAAAGTCATGCAATAAAAGCAGAACAGAGGAGTAGGGCCAAATTGTGCGGTCTCAGAGCCTGGTGGCTAGACTCAATCATCCAAACATCGTCTGTCTGTCTGTCTGCCTGCCTGTCTTTCTCCCTGTTTTTGAGACCAGTGTATCAAATGTGAAGGAGAATGGTGTCATTCTGTAAGGGACGGAAGGGAAAGCTAGCCCCATTCTGGGCTGTCCAAATGTACACAATCATTGTCATGATGCCTCCCAAATTACAGGGATGTCAAAGAATGCCAAGTTAAGAGCACCAACCACAGCTCCCTAGAAATAGCTGTAAGGACAAAGGAGGCACCTCCTCAGTTCCTAGCAACAGCCTGGATCCTAAGGATAAGCACTGGGAACTGAAGTCCTGAGGGGACACACAGAAAAGAGCAGCATCTGATCCTGTTGAATCTTGAAGGTAGCGAACACCCACTTGAAGCAGACAGCCAAGTCTTTGAGGAAAGAGAAGTGAAAGAAAAGGGAGAAGCTGGCTACTGTCACTCAAGTGGGTTTATTCATGGCTACCAGGCCTGTTTGTAACCATGATCACAGATAAGGAAAACTACATCACACAAACGGTGACGTCTTAGCATTCATCCCATCTCCAGGCTCGCGGCAGACAGTGGCCCAGCACCACACAGGCTTGAAGAAGCTAAATGAGAAATCTGACTCCTGCCCTATATTAACTCCACAACAGCATCTCCACAGCAGCCCCACTTTCACTTCTCTCAGGCACAATCATTTATTTAATGAAGTCTTCCTCTGTCTGAGCGCTGGGTGGTCAAGTAAGAACTAGATTCCACCTGTCACTCAGTGGAATGTAGTTGTCAAACAGTGCATACGACATCTGTAACAATATGTCTTTCCCAGAAAGATGGCCACAGTCAAACATGGACAGGAAAAAACCCTGCCTGGGGCTGGAGCATGGGCTGGAGCAAGCTACCTTAAAGCATTAATGCAGCCAAAGTGTGCAGAGGTCTTTGCAGCTTGGAACAGGGGTTTCTAAAGATTCAAAGAAGGGCATACAATAGAGTCTATCCCTTGTCAAGAACAAAGGCATTATCACTTGGTTGGCTGGGATTACTGAGAGGGTCCACAAGCTCACCTCTCCTAGCCAAGGGGTCAGAGTGTTGGGACAAAAGTAATCTCTTACATTCTCCTCTCACAGAACCAAGAGGAAAGATGAGATATTATAGCAAAACCCTGGCTGACACCACCAGCACCTCTTCCCTGCCTGAAACTGGAGGGGGGGGGGGTAGGGTCGAGACAAAGGACAAACAAACTCTTAAAGTAAAGAACTTGGGGAAACCAACCTCATCTCTTAAGTGCTTCCCAGGACAGGGTATTTATCCGTTACAGAGACCCAGCAGTAATGAAATTTGTCACCTATACCACATGTACCATTCTGACCCCATGGGCGTCCAGGTGGCAAACCAGAGAGCCTGAAGACCAACTCCAACACCACTGGGGACTGTAACCCCCAACTAAGCTGCTACTATCACACAGGGCCATGGGGCACATGCCTCGCAGAGGGCTCCGAGGAAGTAGACAGTGAAGAAAATAGGTGGGAAAGCTTTAGATTAAGTTCAGTATTCAAGTTCAAGAAACAGATACCAAACAACTCGGCACTAGTTTCTCTGCTCTCTGCTATTCAGCTACCACTGAGATATCCAGCTCACAAGGCCGAACACAAGGCTCTCTGTATACAGACACAGAAGTGGCCTTGGTCAGTGTCCAAAGGGCCCTCACTGCCACTGTACATCAACGGCCACTGAGCGCCTGAAGAACTGTATCACGCTACTGCCCCCCTGTACCCAAAAGTTAATACTAAGGGTTCCATTTACTTCACGGGCATCACAAAATGGACAGCCCGATGAAGAAATCCCCGTAGTTCCATACCCCAAGGCCCAGGACCCACCCCATATGCTATTCTGGCACACTTTAGGTGTACCTGTGAATCACACATCCTAAAACCCACAGATTCCAGGAACTGGTGGAAAGAACAGAGGCCCAACAAGACAGACAAATGTAAGCATTGTCCCTGACTTCAGAACTGGAGTCAGTGAGTATGTCTCCCAGACAGCGATTCCTGAGATGAATATGCTTATATTCAAACCTGGTACAACCATGACCTGAACCCCAGGGGTAGACAGAGCTATGCAACAGGTGCTCATTTCTGCCTTTGTTTCTAAAATCCAAACCCAAACCAAACCAAGGGACCTCCCCACCCAACCTGACAGTATTTTCCCTGGCTGTCTCCTTTCTCCTCCTTCCTGGACCCTCGGTTCCCATTGAGATTTGCACAGGTAGGTAGTACCAGGTCTGTCAAGCCTCTGGCCCTAAGGCCAACCTGTTCCCATCATTGGCACAAAATGAATTAGGACACAAGACACTCGTTGCATACCAAAAGAGACACTGAGCCATGGGAAGAGTGGAAAACACGCCAGATCAATCAGAGAACATCAGTACTGGTGTGCAGAACTCCGGGCTGACAAAGGACTTCAGGACAGCTCTGGCTGAGAAGAGGCAGTGGACAGATTTGGCTGAATGACTCTGCAGTGTCACCCTAAAGGTGAGGAAGACCAGAGGGTGGAGACATGCATGGACCCCTCCCTCTCCTACACAGCCAGAGCTGACAAAGCCCCTCCAGTGAACATGGAAAAACTGATCCTACAGGGCAGGAGACCCTCTGAAGTTTCCCTGCTTCCATCCCTCCCGTCTTCAAAGTGCATTCTCAGTGCAAGGAGGAGGTCTGGATCCCAGGGGTCCTAACTGAGATAGGGCTGTGCCAGCCAGCTCCCTCTATCTCCTCCGGCTTCCCCCTTGCCCACCCTGACCCTTTGTACACTAAGACCAGAACTCCTGCTGGATCTCAAAAGAGGAAGGCCCATGTGTGTTCAGTTCAGCTCTGCACAGGGGCACAGTGCTGTCCTGGCTCTGTCCCTCTGCGTCCAGGTCCAGAAGCGTCCGCTCAGCGGGAGTCTGTGGCCCTGCCTGTAAGGGGAGCAGGGCTGGAAGTCCAGGCCGCTCTTCTACAGTGCTGCTGCTGCTGGCAAAGCAGGAGTCCAGGTTGCTGGGTGTCTCCGTGCTAGAGCTGTTGGCTGGGGAGGTGCTGCGGGCATGGCTGGGAGACACAAACCACCAAGGGTCCAGCCGCTGCCGGTTGGCAGAAGGACGTGGCCGAGGCAGAAACTCCAGGGTCTTGGGTCTCTCTAAGGTAGAGTCCCGTTGTGTGTTCCAGCGCCTTGGAGTTGGAGGAAAGACCACATTGGGGTCAGGGAGACGGGGGAATTCACCTGGGTCTCGGCTGGGACTGGGAGTTTTCAACATTCCTGGTCAGGGAGACAATGGGCAAGACATCAGATAATGGCATTACTTCTAGGTGAGATATGCCCCTTCCCCATGCTGCCATACGCCTGGGCACATGGGACAGAAGGAATGACACAAATGTTTATGGAGCCCCTGCTATGCCATATAGTGTGCTGGGAGGTGCTGGGAGGCCGCACTGAACTAGAAACCAAGTGGTCTTGGATCAAGTAATAGTAACATGGGGGGGGGGGTATGTGTATAATGAACTAATTTTAAGGTAGATGTTGGGAAAGAACCCATACATAAGATTATCACTTGATTTTTTAAAAATAAAATAGGTTATACAACCCATAGACCCCAAAATATTTACCATCTGATCCTTTCCCAAAACAGTTTGCTGACCCCTGATTTAAGAGAATAGCTGTCTCTTTGATCACCTCCCCCTGCAGGGGGGGGGGTGGGCAGGCAGCCTTACTAGGCCACAGAGGAAGACTATGAAAAACGGTTCTGATGAGACCTGATAGGCTAGGATCAGATGGAAGGGAAGGAGGTCCTCCCCTATCAGTTGACTGGGGAAAGGGCATGAGAGGAGATGAGGGAGAGAGGGAGGGAGGGATTGGGAAAGGACAAGGTTGGGGCTACAGCTGGGATACAAAGTGAATAGATTATAATAAATAAAAAAATTATACTAAAGAAAAAGAGAGAATGCCTGTCATTCAGTGCTCATCCACATAACCATACGGCAGGAAACAAGCTAGGTAGCAAAAAGGTAAAGATGATTCATGCTGTCTCGATTCCCAAAGAGGTCACCCACCTGGGCGTAACAAACAAACCTACAGGAAGAAGAGTCAAACAAACGCTGTGATACAACTGCTTCACACACTTAAATCTCACCCAAAATGTATGGCCACCTCTGCTTCTCTCACTGGACTGGGGGATGTTTCTTGGCCACACTCGGGTCTTTTTGGGAGCAAGGAATGTGGCAGTGAATTCTAAGCCGAATGTGCGCAGTCACAGGGGTCCCTGGGGTCAGACGCTGGAGGCGAGCTCATGCATGCACACAGCCACCCACCGGACATGTCCCAGGTCTGAAGGGGCAGGTGTGACTCAAGGGTTAGTAATAATGAACGTGATGGATGGGTGGCAGCCGACTTACGCATGTGGTAAACTAATGCTATAATGGCAGGGGCTCAAGTATGTGGCAGAAAACACCCTTCCTAGGTGTGGTGAAGAGTCCTTCCTTGTAGCTGCAGAATCTTTAGGGAACAAGAAGCTTGCCTGCTGCCCTTGGATGCTGGAACCACTGCCCTGCTCTGCAGCAGGGTCCCAGAACACCACTGAAGCCCATGTCTGGTTCTTCCTATAACCAGCCAGTCTCCTTTCAACAGTCAGGAGAAGATGCCCATTGTACAGGGCAGAAAGAAATCAGCCAGCTCTGGACACCCTGCCAATTACAGATCATATTTCTTGCATGGTTGAGCAAGAGGAAAAAAAATGGGGCTTATTCAAATCTAGAAGTAGAAGGAGGAAATAAACCACCTACAAACATCTTAACTCCCTGCGGGCCACAAAAGAAGCAAAGAGGAAAGAGGAAGTGGCCAGAACTCACCTGTCCCAGGACTGGGGCTCATCCCATTGCTGGAGGGGCTCCTGCTGGCTAGTGCTGGGGGGGCTGCTGTTGGCTTAAGTGCCCCATCGGAAGGAGTCCGCCTGTGACCACTGGGCTGCGTGGGGGCTGTGAGGGTGACATGGGTGGGAGTCAGGGACTGGTTGGGGTCTCTCTTGAAGCGCTCCACTCGGACATTAACCAGGGGGTTGTGAGTGCATGGGGTTAGGGGCGGAGCTTCAACTGGGCTGACTGGCATTTCATACACCACAATCTCATCACTATCAGAGCGCAGCAGGGAGCGAGTAGAGTTGCATTCAGAAATGGAGGAGAGAGATAGCAGTGTCAAGGAGGCAGAGGGGTCTCCTAGCAACATCATTGGCTCTTCCTTCTTGAAGAGCTTTCGGGAAGGGGGGCTGGTGCTCCGACGAGGGCGGCTGGCCCTTTGGAAAAGACCCTCTCGCCTCTTCTTCTCCTCCCGGGCTGGTGGCTCAGGTTCCTCTGGGGGAAGCAATTGGCACTTGCCGGCTTCGAGCAAGTCAAACCCTAGGCCTGTGGCTGCCAGAACAGCTCCACAGCCAAGCAGAGCCACCTCACAGCGCCGATGGTGGGTTCCACTGCGCTTGAGGCTGTTGGTTGGCGTCAGCTGAGGGGTACTGGTGGCTGAGTTGACTGGGGTGGGCTCCTCATGAATGCCATCACTAGAGGGGCCATCCCCATCCTCTCCACGAGGAAACGGGATACAGAGGTAGGACTGGTTGGGTGAATGCTGTAGATGACTCTCTCCACTTCCTGGGCCTTCACTATCCTCATCCTCTGTGAAAGCAAGGGAAAGGCAGAGAAATACAGAATGAAGAGTCTGGTCCTTCTCCCAATTCTGGCTGGTCTGATTGTGTCAGAGATGCAGGACATAAAACTGGGCATTGAGCCAACGGGGACTCTTTTCTGCCACACTCAACTGAGACCAACATGGGAAATTCACCTGCATTCCAGAGCTCAAGTCTCTACTGTGGAAAAGGGGATCCGCTAATTTTCTGCTTCCTTCTTAACGACTCCTGAGTTTGTGTATAATGCTAGATACAACCTCATGTATGCTAGGCAAGTATGCTACCACTGGGCCATACCCTTAGCCTGACAGGGACTCTTACAAGAACATGCAGTATGAGTTTCTAGAATACTAGATAAAAGAAACATTTCTAATATTCTTGTACCTTCAAACTGGAAAGGCTTTGGATTCCTAGCACGACACTTAGCAAAACATCTTAAGTTTGGTCTGCAAAAGAAATCAAAATCCTTTACATTGGTGAAGACCAATCTGCTACTGATGGGCCTACAATGACTTGGAAATATACAGAGACAAGAATACTGGGGGAGTATCTGCAGAGCTCAGCCACCATTGAGTAGCCAGAGAGTAACTCTGAAAAGGCTTAGGAAGAGGGAAACATCTGGTTCAAGTCCTCATCCTTGCACACTGCCTCAGGGAGACTTCTGCTGAATTCTTGGGGCAGGAAGCCTTGGGTTCTACGATACAAGAACACTGTGGTTTAGGAAGACCTGATAAAATGGTAGAGACAGAGCAGGGGATCGAAGGTCTGGAACAAACATGAGAAAACCCCAGTGGGTAATATTAGGAATCCTTAAACAATCCTGAAAGTCTGGCCAAGAATTTTCTGAGGAAACGAGGAAAACGCCAAGGCAAAAGCTCTACTTACCTATCTCCATAAGGCTGGTGAAACCAGGCAGGGCAGGGCTACTCCTTGGGCCCTTCCCCAGGTTGGGGGCACTGGATGACCACTGTTTGTATCCATCTACCAGGGACTTGAGGCTGAAGGAATGAGGAGGAGATTCGTCAGCACTGGCTATTTCCCTTACTTTAGCCTCCATGGACATTCAGAACATGATTGTCTACTTAATCACACCAAAAAGCCTTGGGGATCAGACAACTCTTCCTGAGCCCACCTACTTCACAAACCAGTGCACATGCTATAGGAGATGGAAAGGAGAGGTTTAACCCAGCCCCTCACATGCTGTGGAATCCTGGAAAGCTCCAGTGAGCAGGAGGACAAGCAGGCAGAAAAAGTAAGAACTGAGCTTGTGGAAGGTCTTGTCTGAGCCGTCCTTAAGGGAGAGGCAATCAACCCGAAGGAACTGAACACAACACACTCATAACATCACAAGTATTTCAGTGCAAACACCTGCGATGCAAGGCAAGCATGGGGCAGATGAACCAGCAGAAATGGCCCCGGCCACTCCACTTATAATGTTTCTCAGCTTCTTGTTCCAAGCTTCTATCTCGCATGCTTAAGCTTCCAAAGCCATTCACTCTTTGAAAGGAAAAAAAAAAAAAATCAAGGAACAAAGCTGCACCAACCCAGTGCACTTGGGACAGACCTATACGGGGAAGACACTATGTGGTACTCAAGCCCTTGATTTGTCTGGGCATGGAGACAAAAGACAGCAGCTTGATTTCAAATCCCTGCCATCAGCTCACTGGGCAAGCCTGGTAACTCTCCAGAGACAGAATGGATCCCCAGCAGCTCCCTTACAAAAGGGGATCTGAGGTCCGGAAGCACTGATCTTTCCCTAGAGGACAGTAAAAGGGAGCACTGAGGAATGTGCACGCTATGGAGGCACTGAAAACCTGACAGTCAACCAGAGGGGACTCTTTGTTTTTAAATGCTAAGACCCATTCACCTAGAGCCTAGTCTCTCAGGGTCCCAAGCCACCAGAGAGAGAAAGAAGGCTCAACTTTGTCCTTCGCCTCAGTACTGTGGTTTGTTTTGTTTTGTTTTAAGATTTGTTTGTTTGTTTATTAGAGGGCACCAGATCTCATTACAGACGGTTATGAGCCATCATGTGGTTGCTGGGACTTGAATTCAGGACCTCTGGAAGAGCAGCCAGTGCTCTTAACCTCTGAGCCATCTCTCCAACCCCCAGAACTGTGTTTTAAGTGCAGTCAGAAACACTGAAGTTAAAGCACAGAACAGAGAGCTAAAGAAGCCTGCTGCTAAACCCACAACCTAGGACTTCCAGCTGCAGTGTTATATTTCCTCTGGTACTGGCCGAAAGACAGCCCAGATTAAAAAAGAGAAGCCAGTACTCAAGGACACACACTCAAATGGCTTTCTCTAGAAACAGTGTACAAGGGGGTGGGTCAACAGAGGAATTTTCCCAAGGTGCACTGCTCTTAAAAAAATAAAAAATAAAAAAGCTCGTCCCTTGCAGTGATGAGGAATGAGAACAAAGAAATGGAAAGGCAGTTGCTACCAATACAGCTTGTGGATGGGTAGAGACCAGACTCACCCCAAGTGGAAATGTGGAGACTCTGACGGGGTACTTAAGCCATTAGTTTTTTCCCGTCTCTGGGGGGATCTTCAATGAATAAAGAGAATCAGCAACATGTATTGGAGACCAAAGCCAGCTCACCCTCTCCCATAGTCAAACTGCACAGGCTGGACCAGCTAGGTGGCCAGCTGCCCTCTGCTTGTCCACTCAGCAAACCCACCCAGGAAAAGATGGCCATATTGGAGGTGTTTCAGGCCGGCCCAGGCCCTTCCAATTAAGGAGAGTCAGAGGGTAACTGCAAGGGCTGCAAGGGTGAACCAAAAATGTCCAAGCTGCCAACAGTAAACTTGTTTCCTACACATATGCACTGTTAGATGAAAGGGGGGTGGGAATTCACATTTACTGAATTCCAGGCTTTGTCGTTATAAATTTTCTTCAGTCAACAGGTGCTAAAATTAGAAATACTATCATGGAGAGATCTCTAACATTTCTGATATCAAAGAGATCTGGACTCAAGCTTGTTAGAATACACTTTCACTTCTTCAATGAGAATTGAGAACAATGAAAAAACAAGGCATGCACTTCTTAACTGTCTCAAAAGTCTGCAAGGACAGGTCTATGTGAGAAGAAAGAAAAGTACAAAGTTAACATTTTGTAGTATAGGAAGGTTAATTTACTATCAAGGCAAAACAAAATAAAACTTTAAATGAATCAGAAACAGAAAAGTCACGAGATTCCTATTTGAGGAGAACAGGGGACCGACCTGAATGAAGAGGTCATGGGGGATGGGGGAGGGCAGTCAGGGAGTAAGAAAATCCACAATGATTTATATTATGAAAATGCCACAATAAAACCCACTATTGTGTATGTTCACTGAAAAATCAGCTTAAAAAATTAATTACCAGAATCCATAGCTAGGCTGGTTACCCTTAGAATTTATAATAATGTCAGAAACAGCCAGTGATTCAGGGTGACTGAGCTTCTCAGGACATGAAGGACACACTGCCAGATTCTCGCCCCTCCTCTACTCTCCCGAGTTCTGTAGATTTGCTGACACCACCTCCCACCCCCAGAACATTAAGTGCTGCATTCACACACAGCAGAGCAGCTTGTCCTGTAAGTGTATATTTTCCACTCAAAGGAACTTAGTGATGCCAAAGCCTTACTAGACAGTAAGACTTTTTTAATACTTTTTTAATAAGGCCACTTTTTAAAAAAATTAATCAAATTGTTATTTTTCCCTTGAGCTCAGACATGAAGAACAAAGACTTTAAATGTGAAATGTTAGTACTCAAGAGATTACCAAAGCTAGTCTGACAGGTTTGGAGGCCCTATTCAGTGACCAATGGGAAGTCATTGAAAATGGTGATGGGACTGCTATCCTCACATAGAATAGCCAGGAAGTGTTCTAGAAGAAAAACAAACCATGGTTTCACACTTTGGGTGTTAGGCAGATGACGTGGAAGGCAGAGAGCATCACCCCAGCAGATAATTATGAATGGTCACCATGAGCCAGCCAGCCCTTACATGCACTCCACATGCTGGGTCGTCTTATGCTCATGAGCTCATACAGTTCATGGAGACCCTCTCTGCAATATTAGGAAGCCTAGCCTGTGAAAAACTGAGGCCCAAAGAATTTGCCTCCCAGGCCCCAAGCCTGGGGATGATGCAGCGCATGTAGGCACCAAGACCCTGGGCCTGGACAGGGTGTGGCCTGGGGTGAAGGAGAAATAGTCAGACCAGGACTGAGTTACTGTGCCTGCCTCCGTTTCAGGGAAACACCCTTGGTAACCCTGCTCTTCCTCCCTTTCCTCTGAACATGTGTTTTATGAGGAAGATTCAGGTCTAAGTAGACCACTTAGCCCGACTTCCTATATGTCCGTCCTTTCTGGGCTGTCTGCTGCTTTGAGAGGAACATCTGCAGGGGGCAGCAAATCCACAGACTGAATTCAGTCCCTCCTGCCACTGGTCTTTGCGAGATTTGACTGGAACATGGCCAAAGTGCTCGTTCATTTTTGTGCTACTCCAAGTCCAGGGCAGCTTTTATTTCTCTGTCACCATGCAGACACACAAGCCTAAAATGTCATCTACCTTTCATGGAAAAAGCTTGATGATTCCTGCCCTGCAAGGGAACCCAGGATCTAGGAAGGAGACTGGAAAACCCTCTAGAAAGGTCGGGAGGAGCTTAGTGCCAATCTGCAATTCCAGAGTCAAGAGGTGGATTCAGGAGGATAGAGAGCTTGGGCTAGTCTGTCTCAAAAAAATTAAACAAAACCTTATGCTTTTCTAGAACATATTAAAACACATAAGAGAGAAACCGAAATATTTCCTATCATATTTTAAAATGTGGCAGTCTTTAAGTGGGAGAGAATTTCACATCTGCTGTCTCTTACCCTTCATCTCCTGAGGTGAGCTCTTTTTGACCAAGTGTTCCTGGTCCCCACGTCCGGCCTTTCTTCTTTGGAGCCCTCTTCTCCTCCTCTTCCCCTTCCTCTTTTGGGACAACTGAGCTCCGGCCCCAGGTTTTACTACTTTCTCCTGGTGTCACTGTGAATAACAAAGGTTAAGTAAGATAACTATCTCCAAAAACAACACAGATCACACGCACACACACACACAATTTATTTAAGCATTTTAATACTACAGTAAAAACAAATCTAGTCCAGGTTTAGCCCATGCTAAGGCTCTGACAAGATTTCTCAGGACCCAGGCTTTGGTGACCCTCAGCTTGGGAAGTACAGACAGAAGGAAAACCCACTAAAGCAGACAGTATGGAGGTCCTCACGGTGGACACCAATCTGTACATTTATCACCCCAGTTTCCAAATTGCTTTGCAGTTCCCTGAAGAGCTTCCCATACCCACAGCCCCCTGTGCTGACAGCTGACAGAGGGCTCCCAGGTGGAGGAGACAGCTAACATGGGGACACGGAGCGGGAAGGCTGAGGTCTGCAAATGTACAAGCACGTGTGTACACACTGCTGGGGAAGGTGGCAGAAGTTACGGCTGGGACAAGCCTGGATTAGCTGGCGGCTGAGCAGAGCAGGGGACAAGTGTCGCTGGTGTGTCTGGCCTCAGATTTGAAAACTGTCTCACACTGGATGGCTCGGAGGCGGGGGATGATGGTGGGGCTTGCAGGAGGGCTCGAGCGGCTGCTGATCAGACTCTTCCTTTTATCCATGGTTGGGGAGGCCTGCACGGTGAACTTGTGCTGAAAATCTGCTTGGGGAGAGACAAAATGTGTGCATCAGGGTCACCACACAGTCAAATTCATGCAAGAAATCTACATCAACTGGAGCCAGGCACAGTGGCTCACGCCTGTGATCCCAGCACTCAGGGAGGCAGAGGCAGGAGGATCTCTGTGAGTTCGAGGGCAGCCTGGTCTACAAAGTGAGTCCAGGACAGCCAAGGCTACACAGAGAAATCCTGTCTCGAAAAATAAAAAAAAATAAGAGAAAGAAAGAAAGAAAGAAAGAAAGAAAGAAAGAAAGAAAGAAAGAAAGAAAGAAAGAAAGAAAAGAAAAGAAGGAATCTATGTCTTCATGTCTTCTGGCAGGCCTGAGGGGTAGGCCTCTGTTTCCTGAAAAGCTTTGTTTATCAGAGAAATATTTTCTTTCATAGTCATCTCTTTTCCCCGGAAGGACATATGACAAGATGAGCACACAGATGGCATCTTCATAAAGCTCTCTATTTGATGGATAGAGACGATGCGATTACGGAGTGAAAGTTGCCTTTCAGTGCATGTCACCTTGTAGATTATTCTACGAAGTGTTGCTTGAAATTATGTTTCAGATGATATCACCATACATGTCCTTTTTAGGTACCAAATAGGGAGCGTTTGATGCTCCTCGCAAAGTGGAGGTGGAGCAGGGTATTAAGAACCAGTCCATGGTGGGAATGTGGGGATTTTCAACAGAAATGGGGACACGACCCCAATTCTCACACACCTTAAAGGCAGTTTGGATACAGCGTGAAGAACATGAAATTCTCAGCTCTTAAGTTGAGTGTCAGCTTTCTCATCCATCAGAGAGGCACTGAGGTCTCCCCACTAGACTAAACTCTCCCTGCAGATGGGACTAGCAGCTTCATATCCGCATTGCTAGCGCATAGCAGTGCCCTGGTACAGTCTAGATGCTCCAAATGTACCTAAAGGTACCACACTACTTGCAAAATAAACAAAAAACCAAACAAGAGCAACAAAAAACAACCAAATCATATGTGACAATGACAGTAGTGTACATTCCCATTCCCGTGAGCACATTCACTCAGGCTGATGACTTAATTCCCTTGTTTGTGCCTAAGCCATCATCCTCAGGCTTAAAAAGGTCACCATAGCCACTCTGACTGTGCCATTCTTCTTAGTTTCCTTAAGCTCTAAGAAGCCTGCTTACCAAGGCCTTGTAGACATAGAACACAAAGAATTTTTTTTTTTTATCTATAGAAATACTCACAGCCCCTTCAGGCACATTAAACCCCATCAAGACTCTAACTCAGTTTCAGTTTCTGTGTGTGTGTGTGTGTGTGTGTGTGTGTGTGTTTCTGATACTTTTTTAATTTTTATTTTATTTTTATTAATTAGTTTATTCACTTTGTATCCCAGCTGTAGCCCCCTCCCCCAACCCCTCCCAATCCCACCCTCCCTCCTTTTTCTTCTCCCATGCCCCTCCCCCAGTCCAACGATAGGGGAGGTCCTCCTCCCCTTTCCATCTGACCCTAGTCTATCAGGTCTCATCAGGACTGGCTTCATTAGTTTATTTCTTTACATTTCCCCCCAGCTAACAATACTTTATGGAGCCAATGTGCCTCTGAGATGCCACAGATGAATCTTATAAAAAGGATTTTTGCATATTAACCTAATGTTAAACGCACTGAGAACTAATTATTAAAAGAAACTTGAGACAAACTACTTTGCTGGGTTAAGGTACCTCATATATGAACCCCCTCGCCCCAGTTGTTACGCATCCTTCCACAGCTTTTGTCTACTGTGAAGAGTTCCTCTGTAGGCTGCCATGCTTTGAGCGACTTGGGCCCAGTTGATTTGCCATGGCTACACACTCTGCGGTCACTCACAACGAAGAGTTCCCCAGAAAGTTTGTCATCCACTGAGCAGGATGGCCCATCGCAACAGGCGTTAGTTACTATGAAGAGTCAGGTCCGTGCTTCCGAACACGGCCTAACTCCCACAAGCCCCCACCACACCAGCTCCTCTTTCTGCCACTGACCGGAGGGGAGGCTGATGCGGTTGCCGTCTTTGAGCTTCAGTCGGCTCTTCCTGAACTTGCCCTTGCGTTTCTTCACCCTGGGCTTTTCCTGGCACAGCTGGTGGATGATGATGTTGAGCTCTCGTTCCAGGATGTCGATCTCCCGCTCAGCCAGCTCCTGCTCCCTTCGCCGCAGCAGCTCCTCCTGGTTCTTCTGCTGGAGCGCAGCCCGCGTCAGCTCCTCCTCCCAGGTGCGGAGCTCCTATGGGCAAGGGGAGCCAGCAGAGGAAGAGCGGGTCTCAGCGCAGGGAGGGTCTGCGGTGAGACAACCTGGAAAGCTCTCTCATGCTGACCAGGAGGGAGAGACAGCCATACTGTGAATACAGCTGGCGAGGCTACTGCCATGGAGCAAGCCTGGACACTCTTTCTGGAATGGTAGCGCCTCCTTATTCTTGAGGAGTATGTCCAAGACCCACAGGGAACGTTTGAAACCACCGATTCTCCTGAGCTCTCTATGTATGATGTGTCTTCCCCCAAAATACCTCCATCTTAAAATTTAATCTATAAATTAGGCATCATAAGAGATTAACAACTAATAAGATAGCATAATGATAACTATATTACACTAAAAGCCAAATCCTTTGGGACTTTCATTGAATAAAATAAGGGTTGCCTGAACACAGAATTGCCATTTTACAAGAGCCAACAAGAAACCCAAGATCAATACTATCTAGTTTGGGTAGTGAGCAAGTGTCAGTGTCAGGAGGGTGACGGTCCCCAGGAAGACCAGAGCAAGACTGGATCATGATGCTTAGAACAGCATGCAATTTAAAGCATGACACTGTTTACTTCTGCAATGTTCCCTTTAACATTTTTGGACTGTAGTTGACACTGGCAAAGCCAATCCACAAAAAGCAAAACTGTAAACGGGGGGGGGGGGGGGGGGGAGGAAGAAGGGTGTGCATTACTGAAACTTCTTATTGACAAGATCCAATTTTCATTTTTTCTGCTGGCTTGTGTGATTTATAAATTATATTATGATTGGAAAAAAGGGTGGTCAGGAATCAGTGACTTAGCAATCCTAACAAAAACCAGTCACTGTGGAGGTCCTCCTACCTGGAAGAGCAGAAGCGATAGGAACTCCATCATTGGCTCACCCAGAGAAACCCCCCTAAAGATTCCGCATTAGCTTCTAGTGGCCACTGTGTCACGTGAACAACCTGCCATAAACAGTACTGTGCGTAGGATCACTGTGCTCCAAAGGAGACTAAGCTCTTTGAATTCGATCCAGAAATTATTTTTAAACTATTTGTGTAGGGGACAACAATGGTACTGCAAAGAACATAGGGCTTAGAATCAGATGGCCCAAGTCCTACTTCCTCACTTAGTAGCTCCATGAAGGCAGAAGCCACGGGCCCTCAGCTGTGAGATGGTTACAATCACACCTGCCCCTCATACGACCATACATACCATCAGGACAAAGAGCTTTCATTAGATTTTTCAAGTGAAAAAAAAAAAGGGGGGGGGGCATTAACTCGTATACAATTTTAGATTCTATTATGCTCACATTGCTATTTATTCCTTCATTTATTTAATCCTTTGAGACAGGGTCTTACGCTATAGCCCATGCTAGTCTTGAAATCACCTTATAGCCCTGGCTGGTCTAGAACTTACGATGTACTCCAGTTTGGTCTCAAACTTGCAATCCTCCTTCCTCAGCCTCCAGAGGGCTAAGATTGTGCCAACATGTCTGGCTATCACACTACTAGTAACTCCCCAAATGTATATAGTATAGAGTGAGAAGAGAAAAAAGAAATTATCCAAGACTATATGACCCCCCTCAGGCCCCTGGATTTGGCCCTGCCCAGACAACACAGGACATAAAGCTGTACACAATCAAGTTCACATGTGTGGACACTGGCTGCTAGCATCATACCACAGAAAAAGAGAGGGGCCACTATGGAATGACTACCAAACCCAAAAGCAGAACTCCAGCAAGCCAGGGGAGTGATCTAAGTCCCCCAGTGATCTAAGCTTGGAACGTGTTCCATAAAAACATGAAAAATGCCAGTTTCCCACTTCTATGCTGTGATGTGGACAACTAAGCAGAGCCCAGGTATTGGTGTCAGTGGTTGGGCACACTGAGTCCAGAAGAACCAGTGAAGCACATCTCCTAAGACAAGGCATGCCCTTTCCTCTTCTCTACCTTTTCTTTGGCCCTGAGTTGGTCAAACATCTCCTGAATCTCATGTTTCCAGTCATCCTGCAGGCAGTGGAAGGAGTCCTTGGGCATCTCAAAGAAACCAGACTCTTCTATGGTCGTCAGCTGGTCCAGGATACTTGTGAAAGATGGGCGTGAGTGGGGGTCTGGATTCCAGCAGTCTGAATGGAAAATGAGAAGAAAAAGTAGCATGAGTGGGCAGAGGCAAACGGAGGCCTCGTGATATTTCATGGCCCCACTTACCGGAAAATGGCCTCAATTCTCCTTCTAGGGCTGGAGAGATGGCTCAGAGGTTAAGAGCACTGGTTGCTCTTCCAGAGGACCCTGGTTCAATTCCCAGCACCCACATGGCAGCTCACAACTGTCTGTAACTCCAGTTCCAGAGGATCTGGCACCTTCACACAGACATACATGTAGGCAGAACATCAATGCACATAAAAATAAATAAATCTTAAAAAACAAAAAGAAGAAGAAAAGAAAATAGAGCCCTGCATTTAGGGAATCCCCAGGCAGCAAAGCAGACTGTGTCATCATAACCATGAAGAGGAGAAACCAAAAGTCAGACACTCCACTGGAATGTGCACTTACCCCAACGCTGCAAGGAAAGCGAGAACAAGGCTTTCTGTGCCTACACTGCTGCCAGCCGTCCACTTACATGATGCAAGTGAGCCATGGGTGACTATGCCCCAAATCCCAACACATACACAAACTACTATCCCTCACATCTCAATGGGATAAGAAAGCAAAGAGAAAAGCGTCAGGGTGGGTGAGTCAGGGAGAGTGAGCTCTGCCCAGTCGCCATCTGGTCACAATACAGTGGGCACTTTCCCTGCTCACCGTGCTTAGCTTTGCATTCCTCGAAATATCATGTTTTCGACTCAGCGATCTTAGAGCCCCTTTCTTCCCACATGACCTTCAGTTCTACATGCAAGATACTCAGGTCTGGGAAGAAGGACACTGTAGCTTATTCTGTATTACATAATAAGATACTGAAGAACAAGATAGCAGGTTTTGGTTGCTAATTTCTACAGTCACTGCAGAAAAGAACCTGCTTTGGCAGGGTGTGGCCACTGTCTAGAAACAGCCCTCCCAACTCTTCCCCCTGGGTGGCTAATATTTCCTGTCCTCTTTCTGCAGCAGACCTCATGACACTGGAAAGTCTCTTCCACGTGCTGCATAAAGGTAAACAGCCACCAGTCTTCCTGAGACCAGGAGTTGCTTACCTTCCATGAGTTTGGCAAAAGGTTCTGGACACGTAGAAGGAATAGGAAGGGCGAGTTTGTTCATGGCCACTCCGTAAGCCACTGCTAACCCATCAATGCCTCGGAAGGGGACCTCGCCCGTCAGCAGTTCCCACAGCAGCACTCCATAGCTGGCAAGAGGAACGAGACAGACACTAAGTAAGAAACAACAGCTACCATCTCACCTAAATAGCTACCAAGGTTTTCCCCGGCATCCCACACCATCCTCAATCCATAGGAAGACTAACGAAATAGACACACTCATATAAAGAAAAGCCACAAAGCCTACTAGAACAAAGCAAAGACTCTGGAGCCAGGTACATCTGGTTTCAGTCTTGTTCCGTCATTCTTCACCTATAAATCCATGGGCGAATCACTACTTTCTTTTGAGCCTCTAATCCCTCCTCTGTAGGAAGCAATAACACTATCAGTCTCAGAAGGTGTCATAAAATCCAATGAGTCTTTAGGAGTAAAAATAAGTATTCAATGGCCACTGCAATTTTATTGTTTTAGAACAAGGGTCCCACTATGTAGCGTAGCCTCTGCCTGGAACTCCTAATCCTCCTGTCTCAGCCTTCCAAGGGCTAGGATTATAGTTGTGCACCAGCATGGCTGACTGTTAATGAAATATGCCTGCAGAAGAGACTCTCCCAAACAGAATCTTTCTGCTTTTAGACAACTTTGTCATGGATATAGTTTTTTTAAGCTTTAGAAAAAACAGAGAGCATCTACTCAACATGGATTTTTGCTTCTGCAGATCTCTTTAAATGTCTGCTGGGTTAAATATATTTCTGACTCCAGATCTGTACAAGTGGGACCTTCACAGAGGCTTCTGTCTAGCACTGTGGGGAAAGTTCCACGGGGCAGATTGGGTCAGCAGAGCAGAGCAGCACAGTATCTGTGAAAACTTCAATGTCTCCTACCTAGCAAGTTCATAGAAACCATTTCTCATCTTCTACCAGTCAGGGAATGTGGAACACAAAGTGTAATGAAAGAATTAGTCTATGGATCCACAATCAAAATCAGGAAGAAAACACACACACACACACACACACACACACACACACACACAGAGAGTATTCTGTCCTTCCAGGAATAAGTTAGGACAAGAAAACATAATGCTATGAACACCCAGAAGGAAGGTTCCACACCACACCAGCCTCAAATTTACTGTAACACTCCTCACTAGTATGTAGTTACAACAAAGGCCATATTAATTAAATGATGATGATGGTGGTGGTGATAATGATGATGATGGAGTTGGAGGGATTTCTCAGTAGTTCAGAGCACTTGTTACTCTTGCAGGGGAGCAGGTTCAGTTCCAGCACCCACATGGTGGCTAATTACCATCTGTAAGTCCAGTTCCAGGAGATTTAACATCCCCTTCTCACCTCCATGGACACCAGGCATGCATGTGGTACACACATACACAAACATCTAGGCAAAACTCTCATATATAGAAAATAATTAAGTAAATGTAATTTAAAAGTTTTGTAAGGGCAAAATAATAATTCATAATAACAATAAGGAGGAGAAAAACGAGAAGGAGAAGAAGGAAAAAAAAAAAAGAAGAAGAAGAAGAAACAGCCCAGTATATATTTATCAGGATACCTTGTTTGTTTAAAGGACCTTGCTATGTAGCCCAGGCTGCTTCAGACTTCCTGTTTGAAGTTCCAGTCTTCTGAGTGCTATGATTCTAGGCTTGTGCCAGCACACTAGACTCTTGTTTTCCTTCATATTGTCACAATGCTGGAGACTAAACCTACGGGGTTGCACATGGTATGCAAATACTCTGCTACTGTGCCCCTCTGCCAAACTGTTTTCTTGGTTTGTTTTTATTGTTGTTCGTTTGTTTTTGAGACAGGGTTTCTCGGTGTAGCTCTTGATTTTCCTGGAACTTGCTCTGTAGCCCAGGCTGGCTTCAAACTCAAGAATCCGCCTGCTTCTGCCTCCTGGGATTAAAGACATGCTGCCAGCACACCCAGAGCCTTTCATGGTACTTTGCATGTGCAGGGAGTACGGCACTTTACGACATCATCCTGAATCTGTGTAAGGATTACTTTACAAGTGGAGAAAGTGGTCTTTGTAATGGGTTTGGTGGTCTATGTAAACCCCAGCTCCTGACACTGAAAAACAGGGTAAAAGACATGTATCTTCTACACAGAAATTAGTAAGAGGCAGAAAAAGACAACTAGAATTCAGAGATGAGCTACAACAGACATACTAGGGCACAAAGCAGAAACCCCTAAAGCAGACCAGAGCGGGAAAAGCAAGTGACCTTTGAGCTAATTCCTGACTGCTAAGGGAATGAGGAAAGTCAGAGCTCCAAGGATAAGGGTCAGCATGTAAAGACAAGTGAGCACAGTCTGCTCTCAAATACACGCTGAGTTACCTAGCATGACTCCAAACAGTGCACCAGCCTATAGGCCAGAGTATTGGTTTTGAGGGCCTACAAATGGCCCCTTGGGGTGGTCCAGCCATCCTGGCTTTACTCTATTAAGGCTTCCAGATACTGTCACTTTCTTTATGAATCTTGACAGGTCACACCAGTCATAGAATGTGTCTTTTTTTCTCTAGAGAAGTTGGATTTCAGTTGGTAGCTGGCAAGACGATCAGATACTTAGAAAGCCTGCCATGGCTTAGTAAGTTCCGACTGCCGTGCACTGTAGCTGTTTATTTGTCAATCTGTTACTATATTTTAGTCTTCACATCCTATTAACTGCCTCTTGCTCAGTTAATAGGTGCCTATAGACAGATAGCTGCAGCTCTCATCTCTAAGCAAAGAATTTTCTTTTTGCAAGAGATGGAGACTATTACAGAGATCTGGTCAAAATGCAGAGTAAGTGACTGTGGGGTGTCCAGCTACAAGTGGTACATCCCCAAGATAGCCCCTACACCTAAGACCCATGCGAAAACTGTGAAAAAGGAAGCAGAAAAATTCTAAGAGTCAAAGGACCAGGACCCCTGAAGCTAGATAGTGTATCCCAGGCAGGAAAGTTACAACTGTGAATCCTCATCAATACTGTTGCCTACACAAGACTTGCCTGATGACACCAGCTGACATGCCTAAGATCCTGGGCCCCCATTCCTAGATGAAGAGGTACAGTCAGTGTCTGCTGAATGAGGGAGGGAGAATTGTTTCCCCCAAGTGCCCAGATAAGTTATTCAATCCCAAGTGGTCAGGCCTAAAAACATGCATATATAAGCAATACTAAATGAACTCAGTAAGTTGTGTGTGTGTGGAAAACAATAATTCTTTAGAAAGAGATCATAGATTTGAGAGAGAGTGGGAGGACATGGTAGGAGTTGAATGGGGAGAGAGGGGGTGGGAAGAATGTAACTACAGTACTCATGTAGGAAATTCTCAAACACACACACACACACATGGGTCGTTGAGCAGGTACCAGAATGAGTTCATGCATGGTCTGAGGCTCTGGCTGTGCTACCGCAATCCTGAACACCGTCAAGAAGTATCCTATTAGAGCTGAAGATGCAGTTCAGTGGCAAAATATCTGTCTGGCATATATAGGCCACAGCTTCCACCCCCAGCAGGGAGAGAAGGGAAAAAAGGAGAAACAGGACCGGCTGAAAAATAAAGAGAAGCTATACTTCTGCCAAACCTTGATTGTGACTTACCTAGAGAGTGGTCACACTTGAAAGCTTTTACCAAGCAACCTCAAAGACCCCTCGGCACTTCTAGCCAGATTCCTAAGTCAGAGTAAATCACATCCTCAGTTGATTGCTTTCAGTGTAAATGTCCATTTTTAAACTAAAACTCATGGTCCCATAGAGTCCTGTCCAGGCATCATTGCCAGTCATCCAGGCAATGATGATTGGTGTCTTGGCCCTAAATACAGTGTTACAAAGACCTAAATGTGTCCTGTTTGTGCCCCAGCACCCCTTCTCTAATGGTTTCCCACTAGGCCTAGTAGGGAGCCTATGAAGATGTCTCAGGCCACCTGCAAAAAGGTGTCAGGGATCTCCCCTCCACAGCATCAATGAGGAAAGCTCTGTCATACTGCGCTTGCTGGTTTGTCTGTGATCTGCTCTGCCTGGAGGCTTAAGAGTTGAGGAGGAGGATGGAGACTGTGACCCATGCATGGCACACAGTAAAGATTCAATAAATGGCACTTGCAGAAGTGAGAGAATCACAAATCAGTTTAGAAACAGCTTTCTACAAGGTCCTAGACATGTATGTGCCCACCCTCACTGGGACACCTACTAGATCTGGGCTACGATGGGCCAATCATTCTGAAGGAGGCTGCTCAAAGCAGAAGAGCGAGAATATACAGTTGGTGAGTACTGCTGTCTGAATAGCAAGAAACAGGTATTTTCCTAAAGATCAGAGATCTGTTTGACCCATTCAGAGTGTGCTTGAGTGGTGAGAGGTGAAGGCCCATGTAAAGGAGTCAGTAAACCACATCTTCAAAAAAAAAAATCTCATAGCATAGGAGCTGGGAAGAAGTAGGTGCATTATGCTGTCAAGCTGCAGTCATCAACCAAACTGGGACAAGGGCTTAAGTCCTAGAACAATTTTATCATTTAAAAGGATTTTTTACTTAGCTTTTTAATTACAGGAGAAGGTGCCTCCAAAGTCCAAACTGGAGAGCACTGGACCCTCTGCAGTTACAGTTACTGGCAGTTGTAAGTTGCCCAGTGTTAATGCTGGAACTAAACCAAATCCTCTGCAAGAGCAGTATGCACTCCTAACCACCAAGCCATCTCTCCAGCATCCTGAGGAATCACAGGCCCTGCTGACTAGTTTTAAGTCAACTTGACACAAACTAGAGTTATCTGAAAGAAGGAAGCAATAATCGAGAAAATGCCCCAATAAGATCCAGCTATAGGCAAGCCTGTAGGGCATATTCTTAATTAGTGATGAAGGAGTACCCAGCCCACTGTGGGTGGTTCCATCCCTGGGCTGGTGGTCCTGAGTTCTAGAAAGCAGGAGGAACAAGGCAGTAAGCAGCACCCCCTCTATGGCCTCTGCTTCAGCTTCTGTCTCCAGGTTCCTACCCTGCTTGAGTTCCCGTCCTGACTTCCTTCGATGATGAGCAGTGATGTGGAAGCATAAGCCTAATGAGCCCTTTCCTCCCCAAGTTGCTTTGGTCCTGGTACTTCATAGTAGTTGCAGTAACTCTGACTAAGAAACTGGTAGACCGTGTGATAATATCCAAGACATTTTCCACTGATCTGTTCCAGTTAGGGAGCTAAATAATTTCATTGGATGCCTGTCACTATAGCTCCTGCAACTCGCTTCCAACAGCAGTAATTATAAGACCCAGATCTGAGACTTGTAACAGGGTATTTAGGTAAAGGTTGAGTCTCATCTATTGCCGTATGGAAGACAAGTACATGCACTAGTCCTGTTCTGTCCTGACTGCCACTCCTGTCAGACCCTAAATTAGGTGTTCACCCTCCCTTCCCACCAAGAATAGCATGGAACCTCGTGAGATTCTGTCCATATCACATCATCACCAACAGAAGCAACCCAGTAAAGAACAAAACCTGAGAGAAGTGGGACAGGACAGTAACCATGTTACCCTGTAAAGAGAGGGAAGGGAGAGAGAGTGCCCAGTGGCTTTGACTGAGGGTAGGACGGTACTTCTCCAGCAGTCACTTTCTTCCTGTTTTAGTTGGACACACAGTAGCTAAAGCTGCATTTGGTGTCTCTTTGGAGCCGAATGGCTAAGCAGGTGCAGGCAACGGGACAGAAGGGCTGTGTACAACACGCACACTGTCTCCATAGCAAGGCAAGGTCTGGCCATGAATAAGCTTGCTCTCCTTTCCTGCACACTGTAAGTCAGAAGTAAGTGTAGCTCACATTAAACCGCTGGGACAGGATGGTGGGAGAACCTGGAGAATCTGGGTCTCGTGGGGCACAACCGTCCTGGCAGCCTGGACTACTCCTTGAAGCAGAAATACATTTCTCTTATGTAAGCGTCCACGCCAATGGGTCTCCTTGTAATCCCAGGCTAATTGATACATCAATGAGGCCTAATTAGTGTCAGTCTCACTAGTGTGTGGTAAGACACTGCATGTGCTTGGCTGCAATGGAACTGCTCTTTTTTTACAGACCTACAGCAGTTGGCTATCAGGTCAAACATTTTACAAGGTGGAAAACTGACTCCCCACTAGGTACCTCATCCTGTAACTAATATGCAGCGAGATTAGAGTGGACAAACAGAGTAGAAAACAACACTGAAAGAAATTAAACAAAAGAGAATATCTCATATTTATGGACTGGGAAACCCAATTACTATGATGTGCATAGTCCCCCAAATAATTCATCGAGTAAACACAATTCATCTGGAAATCCAAGGTGTCATCCTAGATGGTGGCAGTTATAATGCCAATACTTGGGGATACAGCGGGAAGCCCAGGAAGTCAAGAGCTTTCTTGCCTATACATCTAATCTGAAGCCAGCCTGAGCGATAAGAGACTAGTCTTAAAACAAGAAAAACAAAAACAAAACAAAAAAACAAAAACCAGCTGCTTATTTTGTAAATGAACAAAATGAGGCCAAGATTTATAAAGAATTGCAGTGGACTCAGAATGATGAAAACAATTTTTAAAAAGCAAAATTGGAGGGTTCTCATATCCTAACTTCAAAACTTACCACAAAGCTGCACATTAATTAAGAAAGGATGATGCCGCCTTAGGTGCAGACACAGACATGTTAGCAGAGAACTGTGAGCCCAGAAATAAACCCTCACACTCCTCAGGAGCTGGCTCTGGCAGGGATGATAGTGTTTCAATGGAAAGAGAACAGTCTCTTCAATGTGTGTTCCCAGACACAAGTGAACACACATGAAAATATAAAGTTTGGACTCCACCTCACACCACATAAAAATCAAGTTAACATGGATCAGAAATCTAAGGGTGAAAACTAAGATTATAAAATTCTTAGAATAAACAGAGCTAAGAATCTTCACAGCTTTGGCAAGGTGATGCCAAAAGTCATGTGATAAGAGAAGACTAAGAAACAGTTGGATATCCAAGATTACTACTGAGAATTAGCCAAAAAAACATAGAGTGGGAAAATATTTTTAAATCATGTATTATAGCCAGGCAATGGTGGTGCACACCTTTAATCCCAGCACTCAGGAAGCAGAGGCTTGTGGATCTCTGAGTTCAAGCCAGTGTGGTCTACAGAGTGAGTTTAGGGCTACACAGAGAAATTCTGTCTTAAAAAAATCATGTATTAAAATATACTTGATATTAAAATATTTAAAACTCAAAAATAAAAGACAATCCAGTTTTTAATTGGTGCAACAGTTGAAAAGACACATCTCCTGGGAAGACACACAACAAGACACACAATGCACAGTGAACACCAGAGACCAGAGTTCAGCAGTTGTTCAGGAAATGCAAAGTAACACCACAGTGAAACACAGCCTCACAGACGAGGACAGTGGATGTCTGTAACTAAAACATGTGTGAAGCAGAGGGGTTAGAGTCTTGGACCAATGGGATTTAAATGGAACATCTGTGACCAAAACCATTTGCTAGACCCTCAGAAAGTGACACTCACACTTACCTGCAGTCACGCAATTAAGGCACATGCTCAAGTGAATGGAAAACGTATGGTCAAAAAAGAACGCCCACAACTGCCTTATTCATAGCACCCCCAAAGTGAAAGCCACACACTCTCATGTAATGAATGACTAAATAGACAAACATGGCCTGCCTGTATCATGGAATACTAAAAAGCCATAGCAAGAATGAATTTCTAACAAAGCTATAACATGAGTGGATTTGTAAACATCATGAGTGACAGAGAAAACAAGCATTGTGTGATTCCATTGATGTGACTGTGGCGACGAGAGGCTAATCCACAGACAGAAAGCAGGTCTGACTGGAGTATGACAAGCAGAAGGCATGCGGATCCTCTGAGGTTAAAGACATCTTTTGAAAATAGTGATTGCAGCGGGTTGGATGGTGGCCCCAGAGCTATCTGTTGATGCACTAGAATTCGGAATCCAGAGCGGACTGGGACTCCTCTAGGGTCTTTAGGGTGGGGCCCTGCTGTACAGAAGTCACACGTTTGGCCTCCAGAGCTATGAAAGAACAATCTCTACCTCTGTAAATCATCGGTATGTGGAGACATGTCACAGCAGCGTAGAAAGCAGGCGACGGTGGCGGCTGGTGCTCAGCTTACTAATTCACTTAGGCTTTTTTAGGTTTTGTAGGGGTTTTGTTTTCGTTTCTATGAGACAGGGTCTCAGGTGTCCCAACTGGCCTCAACTAGCTGAACGTCTGATCCTCCTGCCTCCACCTCTTGAATACTGGGACTTCCTGCATCCAGGGTCCTATGCACACTAGGTAGGTAATCTACCCTCTGGGCCACACCCCAGTCCTCAAGTCAGTTTTATAAATGCTGAAATGTACTGACGTACGTACTGTAAAGGGTGTACTTTACGATACAGGAATGACAGACACATATGCAAACAGAAACACACGTACCTGTGCTCACTCTGCCACATGGCAGGAAGCACCAATCCTAGACTGGGGTACACAGATACCCCACAGTCTTTTCTTCTATATGTGGTGTCACTGTGTCCTTCAGACAGGACAAAAATCTATCCTATAGCAGCTTATCTTCCCTCAATGGCAACATGATTATTACTATTATTTTAGATCTATGTCCTTGGGACGTCCTGGGTTGACACTTGCTGGTAAAGATGGCCGGCCATGTCTAGTCTGTAACATCACAGTTCTCAGGGCCCGCTGGGGACCCATCTATTCCCATTTCTAGATAAATGTCCAACACAGAGCCCTGGGTAAAAGAATAACCAGAAAACTAGAAAGGATAATTTCCAAGTTATCAAAAAAAAAAAAAAAAAAGACAGCACAGAGAGAACCCATTGGCTCAAGAGCTAACAGGGAGGACACCAGGTTAAGTCCTCCCTGAGTCCAGCAGTAGCAGCTGCTGAAGCTAAGCCAAGTAGCTGAGCCAAACTGCTGCTTGATGCAGGGTGATTTCTCACCCTGAAGATCGGAGACGGAAGTCCATGGTGCCTCCGGAAGCTGCTGAGCTCTCCTGAGGAGCCATCTAGACCATGAAGTGCCTGCATAGATGAAGCCATCCCCACAGCATCCCTTAGCAACACGAAAGTCAGTACAGATTAGTCTGAGAGCTCACACAGCCCCACATGGGGTGCCTTGGGTCTATGCAACCTTAATTCTAAGTCTTGAAATGTGAAGCAGAACAGACCTGGGAACTCAGAGGCCATGCCTTACCTCCACACATCGCTGCCTTTGGAAAACATAGAAGCACGGATGACTTCGGGTGCCATCCAAGCGTATGTCCCCGCTGCACTCATCTTGGTGGTCCGGTGCCATTCCCGAGCCAGCCCAAAGTCAGTGATCTTCAGAATCTTGTTACTCAGGTCTCCGTTCTCCACCTTCTGCAGGATCAGTACTGAGCGAATACAGGAGAAACCAGACAAGCATTAGTCGCAGGGCCTCTGCCGTCCACCTGCCATCTCCTGCAGACTCTGCTGTTCTGCTACCACTCCGATGGCAGAAACGCCATGCCAACCCCACAACAGTTCATTCTGCACCGGATATTTTTGCGGCCATCTTCTCAAGTCCCTGCAGTGCCCTTACAAGGTTGGCATTTCAGGCTGACCATCCCTTATCCAAAAACTATTTAGAGGTCAAGTCTACACAGGTGCTTCCAAATCTAAAAGGACCCCAACTTTGAAGCTCTTCTGGTCCCACAAATGTTAGATAAGGGGTACTCAGCCTGTCTTGCCATCATGGTGTCACAATTCAGGCCTGGATCCCAGGCAGCCTGACTTGAGAGCCTGCTGTGAGTCATAGGACCCTTCTGAGGAACAGCCACCTGGGCTCCCCGAATCAAAGCACACATAGGTTATACCCACTCACAGGGCACGGGGACTAGACGGCTCTGTGACCCCGTTACAGCCACATCCCATTCACCTCTGACACTGTGGCACTGAAAGTACCTACACAGTTCATGTTCAACATGCCCAACACGCATGAACTCAGTTCATACACCTGAGTTACAGGAGATACATATTGCAAAAAAGCATAAAAACAAACAAAAACGTGTTTTAAAATAAGTTTACCATTTAATGTTGGACCACATTCACAGCTAACTTAGACATACGAGGTCCATACGCTGTGGGTTGGACACACTGACGCTCTTAAGAAAGCCTGTCTACTGAGCTCTGGAGATTTTTGTCATAATCCAGGCAGGTGCCCCAACCAATTGAGATTGACTGACGAGTTCGGGAAGGTCAGGGACACACACACGTGCACACTCATGATATCCTCAGTGAGAATACTCGAGGAGGACTTGCTGGTGCAGGGATGACTCCCTAGCACTGCAGTGTAGAAGGCAGCCTGGTGCTCCTAGGATGGCAGCGAGGTAGCCACCACACCCATATGGTGGTCCCAGCCATAAATGTAGACCTGGTGGGCGACAATCTAGCTAAAACCCACCGCAAACCAAGCTGACTATGAGGCCAGACTTGAACTAGGAACTCTGATGAGCTGGGGCACTAGGAAGCTATCCGAATAACCGTGGGGCACGCCTCCTTGTCCCAAGTGGGATGGTTCAAAGGTTTTATGTGAGTACAGCCTCACTGGCTGGACACAGCCTTGCCTCTATCTGTGTAAGTGGGGGTTCAGAGCCCGAAGGAAGGTGCCCACTTCACCCCTGTGAGGAGGAAACCTGCTACAGCCTAAATTTTCAAAGGGATTCAGACAGCTCCAGGAAAACAATACAAACGGTACATGTTAACTCACAGCCCTGTGCGTCCAGCAGACCTGGTGGCGTCTCACTATCCTCCCTGGGCCTCCCTCACTCACACTGCAGACCCTGACAGCAGAGACTCTTCAATTAAAGAACAGGTGCTTCTTGGAGCAACTCCCACCCACTGAACTGTCACACCTTGAAGGGATGTGGCCCAAGGAGCTCCAGGTCCTACGTGCTTCTTGGAAAAACAGCAGTGTGCCAGGATTACCAGCAGCTACAGAGCTAGAGGCTGGAAAGAAAACAACCCCACCCTCGACCTAAAGGACTAAGCCTCCTGCTCCACACCCCCTCTACTCCAGACACATCCCTCCCCACCCTGGCTTCCCCAAGCCAGGTGCCTGAACAGATAAAAACAAGAGGGAAAAAAATGTTCCTCTCTCTATCTAGGGGGGAGAGGGGAGGAAACCTCCAGAATCTTCTGAGGCAGAAACAACACAAAAGCAGACATTCAAAAGAGCCATGTAAGTGACACTAAGGAAACTCCCCATTCCCACGCCAGAAGGCCACCAGCCACTGACTGTCCAGAGCAGCCCATGAATAGACACTAAGTGGGGTTCAGTCACCCAAACCCTAAATGGCTGGGATAGGTTGCAACCAGGAGAGAGATGACGCTTCATATTAGTCTGCTGGATGCTTAAGTGAGATGCAAGATGGATGGAGCAAGAATCAGCCATGGGCTGCCTGTCTGCATGGGGTATACAGCTAGCTACAGGTCAGTGCCCTGCTCACTACCATCCCCCCCCACAGACTCTGCTGACCTCACACAACTGCCCTTTCTGGACCCCCTTCCCCCGTGACCTAGGGCCTACCCTCATCATAAAGTGGGACTATAACCTGGACAAGTCGCTGCCTCAGCAGGCGGCAGCTCAGCGTTCTGAAGTGTGAGGAAAGCAAGCACCAGCTCTTGGGAAAGCTGTGCTTTACACTGCTGTTGTACACGAGCTAGTAGAGATGAAATGTGAAGCACACACTCAAGCACCGTACAGCAACATCCAGCAGAGTGCAGCTCATCTGCAGCGCTGCGCAGCTGCCACCTCCCTCTGTTCCAGTACATTTTCGTCACCCAAAAGGAAGCCCTGAACCACTAAGCAAAGAGCCCAATTCCTAATCTTCTCTCCTCACAGGCCCTACTACTCCCACATCTGCTTTGTGCCCATGTATTTACCTTTTGTGAATACTTCATAAAACAAAATGCTACAGTATGGTATCCGTCTTCACTTAGTGTGTTCAAGGTTTGTCACATTAGAGCTTCTGTTAGTACCATATTCATTTTAATGGCTAATAATATTCCATTGTAATAAATTCCTGCTATCCATGAAAGAGGACAGCTACTCAGTTTGGATCATATGCTGTGTGTGTAACTGAACATAGCTGTTTACTGACATCATCTTTCAGAGTCCTTTCCTCATCTCTAAGAAGCAGGAGGATGACCCTCCCTGTTTCATCCATGTCAGGAGAGATGTGAAAAGATTGGGTCAGTTGTGTTCAGTTGGAGACGGGTGGGGGATAGGGGTAGAATCCACATCCCCCTCCCCCATAGCCTTGTTCTCTAACATCTGTACTATGTGATTCAGAGGCAAGAAAGAAATTCTGTCTTTAAGCTTAGCTCTTTTTCCTCAATGCTACAGCCGATTAACTTTTGCTCTCTGCTCTCCCACTGCTATTTCTTCCTCGGCAGCCAAAACCAACTGCACACAATTGAGCAGCTCACATGTCTAAACAGTCCCTGCAGGGGCATGAAGTGTCTATCATCTTTTCCTCTGGAATGCCATGGGATCCGACTCCTGGAGGGTAAAAACCTCATTCTCTTCTTCAGCCCTTGACACTCTGCTCCAGAAACCATGCCTAAGGCCAGGCGCTTGGCAAGGACTGCCTCCTGCCTAGCCAGTTAGCGAGTGAGGTGTACCTGTGCTCTGGCTGTGGCTTCCCCATGTTAATGTTGACATGTACTGGGGGATGAGCAGTCAGAGAAAGTAACACCTCAGCCAAGGGTTCCCCCGTGATCAACAGACACGCCTTGGTGCACTGTGGGGTGGGGGTTACAGAAGAAGGGATAATTTGGAGATTTTTGCCTGGCATGGCTGCACCAGTTACTTCAGCAGCCATGATACACAGCAGAAATCAATGTGACGGAAGAAAATTTTATCCAGGTTTTCCATTTTAGAGGACCTCAGTCCACCATGGTGGGGAGGGCATAGTGCTCACTGCAGAGGATGGAGAAGCAGTGGGTTCTCATCTTACAACCCTGAAGCTGAGCTACAGCCTTTTAAATTCTGCTCTTATCCATCTACTTCTGACAGCCCAGCCTTGGGTCCCAAAGGCTCTACCACCTACTAGTTTGGTAATGGGCTTCATGAACTAGTTCTCCAGTTTAAAATACACACACACACACACACACACACACACACACACACACACACATGCTCATGCTACAGCATGCAAGTGCAAATTCAAGGACAGCTGCAGTAATCAGTTCTCTCCTTCCATGTTGGGCCTGCGGATCAAACTCTGGCCATCAGTCTTACCAGCATGCACCTTCATGCACTAAGCTATCTCTCCTCACTTACTTTTTTCACATTCTTTGCTCTCCTTTTCTTTCTGAGCTTTGCTGCTCTGTATTCTAACCCTTCTATTGTGCTTTTATTCCCCATCACGGTTTTCTAAGTTCTAAAAGTTCTTTCTCCTTTTCTCATTTGGGGGGAGGTGAGAAGCACAAATGCTCTTGGCAACAGCTGCTTCTGTAGGATAGGTTTAATGCCTGTCCTCTGTCTTTTTGTTTGCCTTCTGCCACTTTCCTTTCTCTTGAAGGGCTTCTTCAGTCAGTGCTTTAGTCTCTAGAGTACTAGTCTCTAGAGTACTTTGCTGAGTCAGGCTCATCCTTGGCTCTCTGTTGTGATTCAGCACATAGCTGTGCTTGTGTGCAAAGACGAACTCCTTAGGTTTTAAAGGTACACACTGAAATATTTACACGTGAATTGAAAAGTTTGTTGGTGATTTCCTTCAAAATGGTAAAGAGTAGAAATGATCAGGGTGACAGAAGGAAGAAGAGCTGTGAGTTGGTAACTGTTGAGACAGAGTAGAAGAGGTGTCATGGTACCATCCTCCTCATACGGGCACATGACTTCTATAGCAGGAAGAAAAAGGAAAGAAGGGGAGGGAAGGATGGAGGGAAGGGGGAAGGAAGGAAAGAGGTAGGGAGGGAAGAAGACACTCACAGCATCAATGTCTCTTCTACCTAATGGAGAATTCCCTCTGAGCCATACCAGGAAGGAAGAGGAAAACAGAAACAGACATGGACCCAGGATGCCGGGTCCACCCTAGAGCTACCCCTGTGGAATCCTCTCCAGGACTCCCACTTCTCTACCTCTGACATTCTGTAATTCCCTGAAAGCACTATCAGTCTTCCCAGTCAAGCTCTGCCAATTGCCTTGAAATAAGAATGGAAAAACCCAAACTCCAAGGGTAAAGATGTTAGGGAAGTGACTCTATGCCAGAGGGACACAAAGAGCCCATGTCCTCGCCATTGCAGCCTTTAGGGTCCCTAAGGTGACATTTGAGAACTTTATTTCTGCACAAGGGAAGAAGAGGGATGATCTAGACCCACAGCCACAGCCAGGAGTCGTGAGTGCCCACAG